TTGGTCTTTCTGCTGATAAATCTAATTTTTGACTTTTTAAATTTTATGAATGACCAATCAACCCTTGTATCAAATATGAAAATACACAAAAGAACATTTATATAGTTTACTTCGAGTATATATATTTAACTGCTCCTCGTGACTTTAGCGTTCTAAAAATAGCTAAAAAATAACTTGATCATAATGTTATTCTGATTATATTTATAATTTTTTAAAGTTTTTGATTTAGATGTTTATGTATTTTAAATGTATAAACGTATTTTATGTATTTATGTGTTTTTTCTAATATTTTATGTATTTCTATGTGTTTTTTTATATGTATTACATATTTATATGTATTTTTACATTTTTTAAAGTCTTTTTTGTAGTTGTTTATCTATTTTAAATGTATAATTGTATGTTTTTTTACGTATTTATGTTTTTTTTTACTTCGGGTTATCTTCACCATTTCATCAAATTCGTACAGCTTCTTCGAATACATATAGATGGTTTTCTTTACATACTCATATATTTTAAGCTTTTTCCATTCGTTTATTTGTAAATTAAACATCAAATTGGAAAATCTTAAAATATATGGGTATGTAGGAAAACCATCTAAACATAATCAAAGAATTTGTGCAAATTAAATGAATTGGTGAAAGATGATTTAGAGTAAAAAAAATACATAAATACGTAAAACTAATACGATTATACATTTAAAATACATAAATAATACATTAACATCTACATAAAAAAAACTAAAAAAGCATATATAAACACGTAATACATAAAAAACACAGAAAAATACACAACATATGTAAAATACTTAAAAATACATACAAATACGTAAAAATACATTTATATATTTAAAATACATAAGAATATAGAAACATATATATATATATATATATATATATATATATATATATATATATATATATATATATATAATACATAATACATAATAACTACATAAAACAATATGTAAAAATATTTAAAAATAGATATAAATATAAAAAATATGTGTTTACGCATTTAAAATACATAAACATCTATATAATAACTTAAAAATACATAAATACATATAAATACGTAGTATATAAAAAATAACATATAAAATATGTAAAAATATTTAACATGGTTAAAATTACATATAAATACATAAAAAAAATATACGTTTATACATTTAAAATACATAATAGTTCGTAAACATATACATATAAAAACTTTTTTTAAAAAAATACGTAAGTACGTAAAAAATATATAGTTACATTTATATGTTATATACAAATTTTGACGAAATTTGCAAAAAAATTTCATTATTTTGGAAAATTAACAATTTAGTTAAATGTCCAAAAATGGCTAAAGTGAATAAATTAATTGCTTTCTTACGTTTTTTATTCAAAAAGTTAAAAAATCGGACATTTTTTTTCAAAAAATGAAATTTAGAATTTTATAAAAGATTTCCCAAAATATTCAGATTTTTCTGGAGATTTACCTACTTAAAAACGACAAAATATGAATAAAATCAATAATTGATTATTCTCCTAAGCTATTCTTTCTATTTTTAAATAGTATTTAACCATTTATTTTATAACCAACCATTTTTCCTAAGTAAGGTGGTTACTATTATTTCGACCATTGAATTATTATAAAATATAACAATTAAAATACAAAAAATAACATCGTCCGTAATTATTTTATTTTATTTTTAAATTTGCATCAGCTAAAATAAATTCAAACTAAATATATTACTATTAAGCATAAATAAATTTCTAACCCAATTTAAACTTAAATTAAAAGTTTACTTAAAGGTAAAATACACTTTTATTTTAAATATTTAACCAAAAAAAAAAAATTCTGAATAAAAAAGTAGTAGGAAATCACGTAAATATGGGCACCGTTATGATTTTCAAGTTGAAGACCTCCAAACCGACGTATGTGTCCGTCGTTTTGCAGGCAGGCTGGGCCACCCTCACACCCCCTCAAATGAGACCCATACATTAATTTACAAAACTACCCTTGTGAGTAATCACATGGAACTTGTGAACCCAATGCTATTAATTCTACTTAAAATGACTATGTATGGGTCTATTGGGCACTTTAGTTTCTAGGAGTTTCGTCTTTTAACTTTTAAAAGAATACTTAAAAAATAGTTTAAATAAAAAACTTTAAATATAAAAACTACATCAAATTATTATTTAAAAAAACTATTTTATAATTTTGTAAATTGATTTAATTATTATTATTAAAATCAATTATGTGTTTTAGTTTTAGATAAAAAAAAATTATGTAATTTTACATGTTTAAAAGTTTTCAAATATTTTTTCCAAACACTGATATGCTAATAAAAGTTACAGTTACAAATTAGTTTTGTTGTTTGGCTTATGTTAATTTAGGTTGAAACTTGCAAAAAATCTAAATATTTCAACTTAACATAATTAACTGATTAAATAATTCACACTAAAAATCATTCTCATAAAAACTGTCAACAGAGTTTTATAAATATAATTCAAAATTTATATGGAATAATTGTCACAACTATGTAGTCTGACTTTAAGCTATCTTTGACACATCACAGATAACTGATAAGTTAGCTTAGTTTTTTTTTTTTCTTTTTAATATGTTTTAATGTTTCATAAGCCAAAAAGTAGATTATAAGTTACTTTATAAGCTATCTTTTTAAAAAATTACTTAGATTAGTTTTCTTGAAGTTTTTTTTTAAAATTTTTTCCAAATATAACTCTAATTAATTATTGAAACACATTTGTTTAAAATATTATTTTATATCATTTTATATATTTCAGTAGCTTTTCAATTAGTTTAATCAAATATCATTTTTCAATAGTTAGTTTTTAATTATGTGTTAATTTTTATTTAACAGCTAGTTTTTCAGCTATCAGTTAGTTTTCAACTAAAAGTTAATTTTTCAACTAGTACATCAATCAACTATATCCATAATACTAAGATATGTTCTAATGTTCTATAAAGAAAATACTAAAAAACTGATTAAATGAATATATATATATATATATATATATGTAAATTATTGTAAATAATACATGTGGAAATGTGATGAGTAAATAAATAAATTAGAGAAGGAAATGGAGATTCCTCCAGCAAAATTAGACTCGGATCACCAAAGTTTGTTAAACATGCGTGCACGGTGCACCCTTTACCAACTACTCTTCCATATTTCCTTCTTTATTAATACAAATTATAATTAAAGGTAACGTTTTTAACATTTATTAGTTGATAAATTTTTATTTAGTAAATAAAATTAAATTCGAATCTTGACAGTGATGTACATTTGAAGTCCGTGGCTTTCCAATCATATCATATAGCCGTGGAAGGGAAATCAAAATCTTTTACTTTAATTTATATCCTTTTTATTTTTATAATTCAATAAGATTATAAAGAAAATAATAAAGGGCTTGTTCACTAAAATAAAAAAATCTTGAATCCATACGTCGCAGATATCACCCTACAGCCATGATTTCGACTTATGTAAATAAAATACCAACTTCATTAAAAAAAATCATTATTAATCTGTTAAGTTACATATTCCGTCATGCATTATTGGTCAAACCCATTACACGACGTGTGTGCAAACAATTATATAACATTGTAACTATTTATAAAATATCGTTTAATATAATAATACGTCAGGTATATATCTATTTTAAGACAAATACCAGTTTCATAAGCAAATTGACCTTTGTTGAAGGTGAGGTTGCTTATAAGAGTCTTTTACGAAAATACCCCTGGCACCGTCCAGTAATTTCTTTTTAAGAGGCTAATGGAAATGGATATGTATGACCGGAAGGAAACAATGTCTTTGCTTACAAACTTTCGTCAATTGACATATTTGTCCTTCCGTCAACGCTTCACAAGTTCACATGTATACAATGGCTAAAAATACACTCCAAAGTAATCACGACTGTCCCATGACCAGGCTATTATACTTATCTATATCAGTTATATAGAGACCAAAATACTTAAATATCATTCCTTTGAAACTATTAGTACAATTTAAAAGTATTTTTCAATTTATAATATTTATAATTTCAAATTTATAGTAATTAATCACCAAAACTATTAACTAAGAGTTTTTAACCTATGGGTATTAGTCAATAATGACTATTTATTTTCCTTTTATTTATACACATATGAGCTATGTGAATAATATATATAACTAAGATTTCTTCACAAAAAAATGCATTTGAACAGATATTTTTATTTTATTCAAATACGAAGAGTTGCAAAAACGAGATTTGTCGCGTTAATAGTTAGTTACTACAGCACATATTTTTCTTGCGATAATAGTGCTTTTATATATCAAATGGATATTAATTTCTATATTCTTTTTGAATAATTTATAAATGTTTAATAAGTTTTTTCATACAAGTATTATTATAATAGATGTTGTAGTGTTTTATATTATAAAAAATTATAGTACTAATTGTTATATATATATATATATATATATATATATATATATATATATATATATATATATATATATATATATATATATATATCAACATACGTTTAATATACAATTTACACAGCTTAATACGGTAAAAAAATCGTCAAAAATTGTAGTATTCATTTTATATACTATTTGTTATTCGTTATATATGAAAATTCACATGAGTTTTATATACAATTTACACAACTTATGCTCTATACAAGGGATAATGACTTAAAAGTGTAACATATTATTGGTTTTGTACACATTTAGTCCTTGACTTTTTTTTGTCCACATTTTACCTTTGAACTTGTTGTTGTGTATAAATTAAGTCATTATTACCGGCTGCTTCCAGTTAACCCGGTCATTTTGTGTTTTACTGGTTTACGTGGCAATTACTTGGCAGTTACCCTCTTCCAACCTCATTTATCAAGAAACCTCATTTACGAACGAAATCTATTAGGGTTATATTGTCTTTATTCTCATAATTCATTCTTGATCGTTCCACATTACTCACACTTCTCTTCTCTCAAAACACCATTCTGATTCAATGGAGGAAAATCAAGCTTTTCCAAAAGTCGATGTACTCTATAATGGTACTTTTGTGCCTAATTCGTTAGTGTATTTTGCTCCACAAGTACTACGTCTGAATGAAGATGCAAACGAGTTTGGTTTCTCCGATTTCATCAAATATGTTGAGAAGCTTATCGATTTTCAGTGCAAGCATTTGTATTACTGTATACCTAAAGTGAGATTGAGTCAGGGGCTCCAAACACAACAAAATGAATGTGACTACTCTGAGTTTCTTGAGGTTGCAAATGCTAACAGACATGTGGATGTGTATATTGACCATGATAATGAACCTCTATTTGAATGGATTCAGAAAGAAGAACCAGACGATGAAGAACTTGTGTATTCAGAAGAAGATGTCGACTCTATTTTGGCAGATGATGAGAACTGTGAATATAAAGAGGATGAATGTGTTACATCAAGCAAAAGAATCTTCAAAAGAACCTATAATGATAAGTTTTTGAACAAGTTATGTCCAGTAGTTGTTGAAAATGAAGATGAAAAAGGCAATGAACTTCCAGCTGTCTACCCTAGGCATGATGCTACTCAGGAATGGAGGAAGATGAAGCCTGAACTAGGTATGAGATTCTCTTCTCCTGTTGAACTTAAGTCATCTCTCAGTAACTATGCAGTTGCACATGGATATGACTTGTATTATGAGAAGAATGACAAGGATAGGTTGCTTGTAAAGTGTTGTAAAGGAAAAAGACCACAATGCCCTTTTAGATTGTGGGCTTCCTGGATGAAAGATGAACAAACATTTCAAATAAAGTCCCTTAGAGAAGACCATAGTTGTTCAAGGGCATTCAAACTTGGTTCAATTGTTACCTATAAGTGGATAGGGAAACAATTTGTCACTGATATTCTGGAGTCCCCTAAAAAGAGTCTGAGGAAGATGAAAGATATGGTATTTAAGTTATTCAACATAAATGTTAGTGTTGGACAATGTAGGAATGCAAAAAGATTTGCATTGTGTGAAATTGAGGGTGATTTGAAGGATCATTATTCCAAGCTGTGGGATTATGGAGCTGAAATTAAAAGGGCCAACCCAGGATCTCATGTAGAAGTGTATGTACAGCCCCAAAATAACTCTATTGTGGTGTTTGAAAGGTTTTATGTGAGTTTTAAAGGAGTGGTTGATGGATGGTTAGATGGGTGTAGGAAGGTAATTGGGATAGATGGATGTTTTCTGAAGGGCATCTATAAAGGGGAGCTTCTCTCAGCAGTAGGCAGGGATGGAAACAATAACATTTACCCAATAGCCTGGGCAGTAGTAAATGTTGAGAACATGAATACTTGGAAGTGGTTCTTGGACAATCTAATGGAATACATAGATGAAGGGGGAAATGGTAATGGAATCACATTGATGTCAGATGGACACAAGGTAGATATATACACTACTTTTCTTTTACAAAAATTACCTTTTACATAAAATAACATTCCAAATCAATGTAGGGTGTAATGGAGGTTGTGAAAGAAAGATGTCCAGAAGTTGAACATAGGTTGTGTGCTAGGCACATCCTTGCTAACTTTTATAAAAAATTTAAGGGTGAGTGCTACATTAAACCTTTTTGGAGGAAAGTAAAGGCAACTATAATTCCAAAATTTGAACTTGCAATGGAAGAAATCAAGAGCTTTGATGTAGGGGCATATGATTATCTCATTAAAAGGGACCCCAACTGTTGGTCAAGGGCTTTTTTTAAGGTTATAATGGGATGTGATGCAATGGAAAATGGTGTGTCTGAGAGCTTTAATGCTGCTATTGAAGAAGCTAGAAAGAAGCCATTGATCACTATGTTGGAGGACATAAGGGTATTTGTGATGGAGAGATTATACATGCAGAAAGGGAAAGGATTGGGTTGGGATTTGGCAATTTGTCCGACTATCAAAAGTAAACTTGGTAAACTAAAGAATTTGAGAAGGTTAGTTGTTACAAACACTTTTACTTACTTTTTGTACAAGCTAGTGATGACTAATTTTTGAATCGACAGATTCTGGGCATCATATGTTAGTGGATACAAGCAGTTTGAAGTTGTGAAATGTAATGAAAGGTATGGTGTTGACTTGGAGAAGAGAGAATGTGGATGCAGAGGTTGGAAATTGACAAGAATTCCTTGTGTACATGCCATATGTTCCATATATTCCTTGAATCTTGATCCATAGGAATTTGTTGTAGAGTGGTTTACTAAATCTGCATTTCTTAGGGCCTATGAGTACACCATACATCCCCTGAATGATAGTACTTTGTGGCCCCAAATGCCTGATTTCCACCAAATACTACCTCCTATTAGGAGGTGGTTACCTGGTAGGCCATGTGTGAAAAGAAAAAGAGACCAAGTAGAAAATGAACTCAGTGGGAACACAAGGCATACTATAAGTAGGGCAGGTGTTCAGCACAAATGTACAATTTGTAATGAAACTGGACACAACAAAGCTACATGTCCAATGAGGGGTCCTTCTGAAGCAGGTCCAAGTAAAGCAAGAAAGAAGAGTAATGCAAGAAACAGTCCTTCACAAGCAGGTCCATGCACTCCAGCTCCAGGTGCTCCAACACATGTCAATCAAGATCCTATGACTCAAGACCGTGTCCCTATGAATGAAGGTCCTGTGAATCAGGAGAAAGTGAATGAATTTCCTGTCAACCAAGATCATGTGAATGAAGTTCATGTGCATGAAGATCCTATGAATGAAGTACCTATTAACAAAGATCCTGTAATTCCAGTACCTGTTAACCAAGTGCTTGTGAATCTTGGTGTTAGAGTGCCTAGGAGACTTGGTGTTAGAGCAAGGAAGCCTTCAGAGAGAATCAACAAGATACAAATCAGGAAGTAGGTTTTCCAAAAGGATGGCAAAGGAGTGACTGAGAATAACCCAATTACTTTAGATTTAGATTGATTAGGGTTACTTGTTTTCTTTTGCTTTGGAAGTATGTAATAATACACTATGTATGGTGACTTTCTTTTGTTAATTGGGCTAACTTTTTATGTAATTGATAGTACTACCCTTGCTTGTAACCTAGCAACTTTTTATGGTCTTTAAGTAAATGGAATTGGATATGGTATCCTATGTCAATTGTGTTTTGTCCTTTTCAATCTTTATTGGTATTAATGCATTAGTTTATTAATAAGGTCATAATGGGAATCATATTTTAGTTGTGTATTGGGAATCATATTCCCTATTTGTTTCTATCAATGTCCTTTGTCTTTTAGTTGTTGAAATTGAAGACAAATTCAATTATCATTGTCCTTGTCTTTTGGCTTTTGAAATTGCAGCCAAATTCAATGTAAATTACAATCAAATGTTCACCATGTAACACTTCATTCAGTATGCAAACTCCATTAAATACATTTAATATAAACTATTGAGTACATTCCATATAAACCATTTAATCCCTACATTCAAAATACCACTATTCAATACATCATACAAAACTCTATTCAAACTGTTTTCATATAATATTACATCTGATTTCAACCCTATAACTATGTGATTTATTCTTCAGCTCTTGAACTTCTTTCTTCAAACATGCAACATCCTCTTTAACTTCTTCAAGTTCTTGTTTTAAATCCGGATTCCCAGTCACAGGTTCATCAATCAATTCCCAATACTCACACTTCTTACCTGGTTTCTTTGAAATCAAATATAAAAATTATAAGAACCTCAAAATCTTTATTTATTAGAAGGAAAATCAAAAGTACAGAGGGAAATAAAGATCGACATACCAAAGAATTAGGGCAAAACTTTGAACTTTTTGTTAGGGTTGTCTTTAGTATTGGATGTGCATATTCGAACTGGGAGTTGATAATCACATAGCTCCTCTTTCTTTGTGATGGAACCATATGTACTGGGAGTCGACATCTTCTTCTTCGATTTTGGGTATGGGTTCGAATGTTTTTTGACTAAAGTTAGGGCTAGGCATCGTATTATAATCAACAGAACCAAGAGATGATCCATGTAGGAGTGTTTTCTTTTAATGAGTGTCCACATAGGTAGCCATGTCAGCAATTATGGAAGCAACCGGTAATAATGACTTAATTTATACACAACAACAAGTTCAAGGGTAAAATGTGGACAAAAAAAAGTCAGAGACTAAATGTGTACAAAACCAATAATATGTTACTGTTGGATAATGAGAATGGTTCTGTTCCATTTCATTTATCGATATGATATCTTTCATAACGGAGGGTTATATGATCACTTATCTTAGGACACGTTACTGAATAGGCCAGAGTTCGACCACAATTTGCTAATCAGTTTTTGAAGTTATACTTGCAACTATATTTATTAGAATTATCCAAGTGAGAGACTATTGAATTAGGTGTCTAAGCCCATAACCATAATTGGTATATACTTGATTTAATAGTAGCATAGTCCTTTTGGGTTGCCTTTATACTAGCAAGTAGACATGATGACTAATTGAGAAAGAGGAAGAATTTATTATGTGATTAATAATTGTAATAAATGATTTATTAATGTATTATGGAAATAATATATTAATTATAATACATATTATTTAATTAATATTTAATCAGAAATTAATTTGGAATCTTGGGATTAAAGGAATTAATTAAAAAGTTCATGGGATATTTAGCAATTAATTAATAGTTGTGGTTTTGGGCTCTTGTACCAACCTAGAAGTGTTGGATGAAAACTTCAAAGGAGACCCCTAGTATTTTCTTCCATGGCTTTCAGATGGGTTTTGAGCATAACTACTAACCCTATGTGTTCATGCAACCCTAAATTAAGGATCTAGGTTTTCACTAGTTGAACATGCAAACTTTAATACAAAAGAGAAACCCTAATATGCATCTATAAAAATCAAAAATAAAGGTTTAAATACATACCTTAATTTTTATTTAGTAATAACAATTAATCCTTGTAGATATTGAACTCTTGAAAGCAAGTGTCTTAAATGTGACACCTCTAATGGCATACAAACACTATTTGCAAGAGAATGATAGGAAAGATGAGGAGGCACACAAGAATTTTTGGCTCCCTTAGGGTTCTTAGGAGGTGGCCGAAACTCCCAAGGGTTAGCCTCCTTATATACTGCAGGCTACTTAGTCCTAAAGCTAGGGTTTGTAGGTGGAAACCCTAATTCCCTACTTAAGGCTAAAGCAAACCACAGACTCCTCTTCTAGAAGGCCTTGGAAGAAAACTTATAGGGCCTCCCTAAAAGTTTTTTCCACTCCTATCTTGGGAGTCCAAGAACCAAGTTTCACAACTATTAATGATTTTCAAAATAGCCCTTGTACTTTTAATTAATTCCTTTAATCCCAAAATTAATTCCAAATTAATATCCGATTAAATATTAAATAAACAACATGATTTCCAATTAATATATTATTCTCATAACATATTAATAAATAATTTATACCAATTTATTATTCCAAATAATAAATTCAACTTCTCTCCAATAGTCATCCTGTTAAGTTGCAAGAGTGAAGGCAACCCAAAAGGACTTGTACTTCGATCAATTTAAGTATATACCAATAATAGTTATCGGATTAGACACCTAATCCAACAGTCTCCCACTTGGATAAGTCTAATAACTATAACTGCAAGTACAACTTCAAATTTTTACCATCACATTTTAGCTTTCAAAAGCCGTTGTCGAACTCTGACCTAATCAGTTATGTATCCTAAGATAAGGGATCATATAATCCTCCGTTCTACAAGATATCATGTGGAAAAATGACATGGAACAAAATTATTCTCATTGTCCAACAATTTGTTTCCTGATTTCTTGTAGCACCTGGTTCCTGGTACGTATTTTTAAATTAAGTATTTTGCATTTTAGCCTGGGACTTGGCGAGTTGGTGGCCCAACTCGTCGAGTAGAAGCGGATTGGACATGGGAGTTAAGTGGATGACTTAGCGAGTTAGAGACCGGACTCGACGAGTCCGTGCTGTCTGGACAAAAACTCTAATATAAGGTTTTGCACCCTATATAAACACCTTACCTCAGCCTCCCTTGTCCCTAACACTCTCCTAGAGCTGCATATCGAAACCCTAGCTGATTGTGTGTGTGTGTGTTAAGGCCATTTTGGTGCTTTTGTTGACTGGTGAAGCTTGGAAGGAAGATGATGATCTTGAGTATTCGACTTGGGGATTGTGGATCAAGAAATCTCATTCCATCTTCAGCTTAACCAAGGTAAAATGCTCCTGCTTTGGTCTTCCATTTGGTTGTTCATCTTTAGATTGTAGATCTTGGGTGCATTTAGGGCTTTCAAGCCATTTTTGGATTTAAGGAGTGTTATGTGGACTCTAGCCTTCAAATCTGGGCCTTAAGAGGGGTCTCATGTCATAAAGGTGCCAACTTTAGGGCCATGAGAGCCCCATGCACATTGTAGGACACTTTATATGGATTTTTGAGCTAAAAACCCCATGCATGTGCATCAAGTTTGGAACTTTACATATAAAATGGGTATTAGGAGGCCAGATCTATAGTTTTGGTGTGTTAGACCTCATTTAAATCGACTGTATGGAATTGGTCAAGGTTGGACTCAGGATTTGTTCTTGGCACTCGACGAGTCGGTGACCATTGTGCTCCCAAACCCTTTCGGTGAATGGGTATGTGTTAGGAAGGAAGTCCCTTGTGGGTTTAGATGCAAAAAGGGACCTAGGAGCCATGAGACTCGGCGAGTGGTATGAGCAAACTCGGTGAGTCCATAGCAATCTCCCAATCTTTGAAGATGGACTCGATGAGTTGTTAATACAACTCGGCGAGTCATAGACTGGACAAGTTCTTAAGTTGGAGATGAACTCGACGAGTTCAAGAAGGAACTCGGCGAGTCGGATGAAGATGGTCTCGATGTTATGATTGAAGGAGAACCCGTCGAGTTTTACTAGACTCGATGAGTGGAGTCGGGGTTTTTGTGTGAGGTTAGAGAAGCATGGACTCGACGAGTTGGTAGGCCAACTCAGCGAGTCAGGTCAACTGAATGTTGACTTTGACTGGACTTAGGCTAACCCTGTTTAGGGTTGTATGTGATATGTGTTGACTTGAAGGTTGTCGTGTAGAGATCAAGGAGTTGTTAGGAATCGACTTGTGCGCCGAGGATAGTTCAGACACTGCACGACATTGAGGTGAGTTACCTTCCAGTAGGGGTGGGTCTAAGGACACAATGTCGGACCACCAAAAAGGGGTATTTAGAAGATAATGGTCTTTGTGATAATTATCTTGGTCTAGTTATATGTTGGTTATGAGGTTTATATGAGTAGTATGTTATGTGTATGTTAGGGATTAGTTTCCTTGACAGTGGTCCTTAGGACCCAAGGGTAGGTCAGTACCCGGATATGCCTGACTGTATGCTTATATCTGTTGATTGTATGCTAGTAGTAGGGGTGAAATAGTCCCCATTTACCGGTTGAAAGATACCGATGTTGATTACCGGTTGAAAGATACCGATGATGCTTACCGGTTGGAAGATACCGATGAAGGTTACCGGTTGAAAGATACCGATGGTATTGTATAGTATGTGGTATGATGGGGGGAACTCACTAAGCTTCATGCTTATAGTTTTGTTTTTGGTTTCAGCTACCTCTTCGTCGAAGGGGAAAGAGTCGGCGGTGTAGCAGCGCATCAACCACACACACACATGTTTCCGCAAGAAGTTTTTGGGACTGTACTATGATTTTCAATACTTATGATGTTATGGTTTGAAATACAACATTATGATTTTGTAATGAATGTTTTGTTGACGATGTTTTGGTAAAATGTTTGTTAAATGCGTTAATTCAAAAATGAAATTTTTGGCCTTGAAAATTAGGTCGTTACAAGTTGGTATCAGAGCCCTAGTTTGAGGGATTCGGACACACCCGCGGGGGTGT